CATTATCGACACCTTCTGGCTGATGATACTCGGCCGCTTCATCTTTGGCATTGGCGCCGAATCGCTGGCCGTCGCCCAGAACAGCTATGCGGTGCTCTGGTTCAAGGGCAAGGAGCTGAACATGGTGTTCGGCCTGCAGCTGTCGGTGGCACGTTTCGGCAGCACGGTCAACTTTTGGGTAATGCAGCCCATCTATGATTATGTGAGCAAGTTCTATGAGAGCTATCGTGCCCTTGGCGTTGTCCTGCTGCTGGCCACGCTCACCTGCGTCATGTCGCTGCTCTGCGCTCTGATACTCGGCTGGATGGATAAGCGGGCGGAGCGCATAATGCAGCGGAACAATAATCCGTCGGGCGAGATACCCAAACTGACGGATGTCTTCACGTTCAAGGCGCCCTTCTGGATGGTCTCCCTGATCTGTGTGGCCTACTATGTGGCCATCTTTCCGTTTATTGCGCTCGGCCAGAAGTTCTTCATGGATCGCTTTGGCTATACGGCCGCGCAGGCGAACACCGTCGACTCGCTGGTCTATCTAATTGCGGCTGTGTCCTCGCCCATCTTTGGCTTCATCATCGACAAGCTGGGTCGCAATGTCACCTGGGTGATGAATGCCACGATTACGACAATTGGCGCACATGCGCTGCTCACGTTCACCCAGCTGAATCCGTATGTGGGCATGACCATTATGGGCCTCTCCTATTCCATGCTGGCCGCCAGCCTGTGGCCCTTGGTTGCGCTCATCATACCCGAATATCAGCTGGGCACCGCCTACGGATTTTGTCAGTCCGTACAGAATCTCGGCCTGGCTGTCATCACAATTGTCGCCGGCATCATAGCCGATCAAAGCGACGGCGATCATACCTGGGTGCAGCTATTCTTCATGGGCTGGCTGACCATAGCGCTGATTGCGACCGGCGTCATCTGGGCCTACGATAAGAAGCATCGCGGCAATCTCAACATGACGCCGGCACAGCGTGCAATCTTTGTCAACTCGGCCAACTATCAGAATTTTGAATAATCCCCAAGCATGTTGAATGTTATTCCATATGGAAAGTGAGCTCCATGCGGGCCCTATCAAATTTTTACGATTATGTTATGGCTGAGTAGTAGATGAAAGATCTTTGAGACAATGTGATGAGCGGCCCATCGAGTCGCATAATTGGTATTTACTAACTGGAATTGTTTACAAACACACACACACACACACACACCTACACACACATATACACACATATATATATATATGTATATTAATTTTATGCTATGTATTTTTAGAGCAATTTATTATTAATACAATTACTGCATGTTTATTTTCTTCGTGTACATGTTTTACGGATTTTAAATATTGAAAGCAAAAAAAAACTCGCGTTTAAGCAAAATGTTTAACAAAAAAATCATTGATATTCCATTAAATGTCTTTAATTCAATGTTTATATAGATTCATAATGAAATAAAGCCTCGAAAACTCACAATTTTAATGACTTTTTTTTTCTAGCTTTGCGTAATTAACAAGTTTTGCAGCAGATGCTTTCCGAGAAATAAGTAAATATGTTTGTTTGTTTTTTTTTTTGGAATTTTTAGCAAGCTTTGATAAGGGGTTGGTAATAAAATATGCATTATATAGCGGAGATTTTATAGCCTTGTGGATCTTTGACATGCAATCCATTTAACTGAATTTTCAGTTGATTGTGCCCAGGATGATGTAGTCCATACTCCACTCATGCTGGAGGCAGGCTGAAGATGGGATTTAGCTTAAAACAAACAAGTTCCTATGGGAGCAGGCTGATATAGTAAAAAAAAAACATATAAATATATCTGTTCTTCAAGTAAATCCTTTTCAATAACTAAGTTATCATTGCAGCCATATGATAGAGGGCAACAATCTTAAAAGGAGCTTCCCATAGGCTTATGAACCTGCTAGGAAAAGCAGTTTTCCATACAGAAATCACTTGACTATCGATGGACCGTTGGACATTAGGCTGACCTATGGAAAGTTTCTTGAAGATAGTCTACAAATCAGACAGAAACAAAGCGACGACCCAGCAATTGATAGTGCTCACAAAATGCATATACTTTATATTCTAATGCGCGATTATAATACGCTCTGCGAGCGTACAATTGTTAAACATAGCCCATTTCTTAAAACTAGCTACAGCTGGGCGCCCGCATGCCAAGTCTCTTGGAGTGCGACCCAATTCTGAAATAGTCAATATAAATACGGCGACATTTTTGGCCGATCCGATCACAATGATTGCCACGCTTGCGTTTATTTCAAAACATTTTAATGTCTGTGCGTCGCTCGAGCACCTCGATGCATTGTCTGCTGTCCAAACCGAGCACGCGCAGTTCATGCAGCGGCTTCGTCTTCTCCTCCGCCGTTTGGCCGCCGCGCAGCGTTTCGAGCAGCAACAAAGCGGTGCCCCGCGCCGCCGTCAGCAATTTGCCAGCGTCATGAATTCTAATTGAATGATAAACAATATGAATATGATATTTAGCTAAAGTCGAGCCGTTGTGACTCACCGCTTGAAGAGCAGCTCGGGCCGCCGCGTGTATTGGCCGAAGAGCGCAAAGAGCAGCGTCATGTCGTAGTTGAATTGAGCGGCGCCAGCGGGCGAGAATTTGGTGTTCAACACCATGTTCTCCAGCATAAAGTCATCGATCTGCTGAGCCATCAGGCGCAGCGTCTGATTGAACAGATTGGCGGACAGCTCACGCTCCAGATTGTGCAGCAGCGTGACCAAAACCTGAAACATTTCGCCGCCGCTGGGCGAAAGTATGAAGGGCTCCCGACTGTTCTGCTCGGGCATGGTCGGCCAGGCATCGTGGCGATAGTTCATTGACTTGGCCTTCATCTCGTTGACCGCCTTGTTGGCCAGGTTCTTCATTAGCTGGCGGGCCCAGTGCTCCAGCTCGGCCACGGCCGGCTCAAACACCGAATTTATTTCGCTGGCATGCGGCCCGGCGAGCGCCGCATGCAAATGCAAATAATGCACATTTTCACCCCATTCACGCAGCACCATTATCAAATAGTTGATGGCATTCAGCACGGGCAGGCTGGCCAGTGCGCCGCTGCTGTGCAGCTGCACCAAGCGCCGCCGGAAGCTGTCGATTAGCTCCAGTTGCAGCTGCAGAAACTGCAACTGATGTCCGGGCTGGATGAGCGCATAATAACGATCCTTGATGGCGTCCAGCAGGCGCATAAACTGATCGGCACATTTGGGTATTTTCAAGTCGTCCTCGTAGGTGTTTGGATCGATCAGCTGGAACGGCGTCTCCGCCTGCAGTATCTGATCCATTTTCTGAGCACAAACTGGTTGGAATAAGAAGTTGAGTCTAATTTCTAAGCTTTTATGGTATTCCCGCTTACATTGCTCCTCCAGCGCAATCCAGCGCAGCAAGTACATGGGCTGTGTGAGCACGGAGATGGCGCTGGGAAAGCTGGCCGGATAGCCAAAGGTTTCACGCAGCTCCGATTCGAAGGCCAGCGTTTCGTCCAGTAGATGCGCAAACAGATGCTCATCCTGTGCAATTTGTTCAATATCCGCCGCCAGCTTCTCAATGGTCAGCTGCACCAGGCCGCGCATGAACTCCAGCTGCAATGGGTAAGCATTTAGCATATGGTCTACAGGTAGATCTTGGTCTCACAGCCAACTTACTCGGAGATTATAGTCCAGCCTGCCGGCTTTCATGGCCGCCGGCTGAAACGTTTTGCCCACAAAGAAATGCGTTTCCTTGCCCCAGTTGAGTATCTGTGTGTAGAACCATTCGGGCTTGTCCAATCGATTCGTTTGCCGCGTGCCCGTAAAATGGAACATGAAACGCTGTCGATAAGGCGCCAACAGCAGCTTCACCACCTGGCTAATGGGCGGGCAAACAATGCTGGGCGTTATGCTCTGCAGTGGCGCATGCTCCTCCGCTGGCGACTTGATAAGGAACATATATTCGGCAAGGAGTTGCGCCTTGGCAGTGTCCCGGCTGGGGGAATAGTTAAGCGGCTGCTGTTCCAGGTGCGCCCAGCGCATGGCCTTTAGCACAGCCTCAAATTCGCTGGAGAGCCGCTGCATGAGCTGCTTGTGCCAGTAGATGGCTGTGGCTTCCGCGTAGGATTTAAGCGAGCGCGCCTGCACGGCCTGCAGGCGACCCACTACACTGTGCTCGCAGTCGTTGCCCTCGTAGAGGGTCAGATAGATGTTGACCAGCTTGGCCTCGTCCTTGCCATTGATGGCGCCGCTCAGCGCGGCGCTGATCTCCTGTATGTCCTGCACCAGGCGCAAATACTGCGTCACATTCTGCAGCTGACGCACCTGCTGCAGATCCTCGGCCACGCCCAGCAGCGCCGGCTGGCATTCCTCCAGCTTGAGCTTCAGCTTCGCACTGAATTGCTTCAGTTTCTCCAGCTCAAAGTCAATGCTCTCGCAGACCTGCTGCTGGCATTGGAATGCCGACTTGTAGCTGGACACGTTCTGCGGCTCCTCATAGTTGAGCTGTAAATATTGAAGCAGTTAGCTGCGCTGTCTCCTGACCCAATCTTTGTATCTACTCACGGTTTGGCTCAACGTATGTAAACGTTCCTTGTAGCTGTCCACGAGCAAAGCGGCGCGATGCAGCTGATTGGCATCTTTGCCAATCTTTTCATTCAGGCGCTCCGCAATGCTCCTTTCCAGTTCACTCAGCTTGGCGTGCATTGTGTGTGGCACATTCAAATAAAAGTCTAAAACATTAATTGGGCTACGAACACGTATAAAAATAATTATTGTTGATGCAGTCACTCTCGAACCATGGCTGCAGTTCCTGATTTCAAAGAGTGAACAAGTAAAAGTTGTTCATTTAGTGATTGTGTGGTTCCACTTGTGGCGTCAACTGGAACTAACGAAATGAACACAGCTCATTCAACTGCCTTGTGGTTTCTTTTTTTTTTTTATAGCTGGTTCTTATTGTACTGCGGCTACTGTTAACGCAGGGTTGCATTACTACAAATAGCGATAAGTCCGTTTGTTGCCGTTCTCAGTGAATGGCAATTTTCAAACACAGCCGCCAGCAGGTGTTGCAGTTGGCGTCGCGTTGCATTAACTTTTCATTGCGGAAAATTTAAGTGAAAATGTTTACGCCGAGACAAAAGAGCCACGCCCAAGGCGCTGCCAGCTCGCCGCATACACCGCTCAGCTTCAGCCGTGAGCTACGTCAGGTTTTGCAGGAGCGAAATCTTCTGACAGCCAAGTCGCGTAAGAAAGGTAAGCGTTGGGCGTGGCTAGGACTCAAAAATGCCTTCGCAGGATGCGTTCGCTTGTTTTTAGCTAACTTGTATTGTTTCCATGACAGTATGCTCTATGCTGGACAGCAACTCGAGCAGCCCCATCGGCTCGCCCAATCCGGACGCAGGCAAACGCATAGGCTTCCGTCTGCAGGCCGTGCAGGAGATCATCACGTCGGAGAAGTCCTATTTGGAGCAGCTGGAGCTGCTGATGACCTACTTTGTGCGTCCGCTCAAGGAGCAGGCCATCATTGATGCCTCCAATCATACGGCGCTGTTTGGACAGATCGAGATGATTCACAACTTGAATGGCGAGTTCCTGCGCGAGCTGGAGGCCAACATGGAGAATGTGGCGCATGCCTTCCTCAAGATGGCCCCATTTTTCAAGCTATATTCCGTGTATGCGTTTGATTATCGCGGCGCTTTGTTCATATTGCAGGATTTGATTAGCAAGAATCCGGTTTTTCGCAAATTTCTGGAGGAGACCGAGAGCCGGCCGGAGGTGCAGCGCAAGCTAAACGCGCTCATGATTGTGCCCATACAGCGTGTGCCACGCTACAAGCTGCTCTTGGAGCAGGTGCTGCTCTACACTAGCCCCGCGGATGCGGACTACAAGCTGCTGAAGGGCAAGCTCCTAATCCTTACAAGCAATTTCTGGTATCTCAATATTCTTTTTTTCTTACAGAATCGGTCAAGGAGATTGAGGCGACGGCCTCGCACATCAATTCCTGCGTGGAGGAGCAGGAGATAACACAGTATTTGATCCATCTACAAAACTCGCTCGTCAATCGCACGCCCAACATTGTGAAGCCCTCGCGTCGGGTCATCAAGGAGGGCATGCTCTACAAGATCACGCACAAGGGTCAGCAGATCAAGCGCTATTGTGTGCTCATGTCGGACATATTCATGTACTGCAAGGTGATCAAGGAGCGCACGCCCAATACCCAGGTGGAGAACTCTCTCGAATGCTGCTGCATTTTTCCGCTCAAGAAATGCAAAGTCTATGAGATGTTGCCCGGCAACTTCAAGCTGACCTGCCAGAGCGATGGCATCATCTTTGGCAGCGATGATCTGCAGGTGGCACGCACCTGGGTGGGCTTCATACGCGATGCCATCGATCTGCATGTGCAGTGCCGCAAAACGTTGCGCAAGGACTCCAGCAAACGGACGCCCATACGCAAGAAGGACATGAAGAAATTTGGCGCCGATTATGTACTGAGTCCCAACAAACGCAAATGCGTGAGTAGCCAATCCTCAAGCAGTGCCAATTGTAGCTAAACTTTGTACTTGACAGGATTACGAGACTGTGTTTCGCAACAAGAATCGCAGCACCGATTCCGAGGAGGAGGCGGATTTGTCAGGCGCTTACCAAACCATTTGCTTTCAGCGCAAGCGCAAGTTTCCCAGCGCTGCACCAAATCCGTCCAAGGTGTCCACAGCAGGCTCGTCGGTGGCTGTCAAGCGTCCAGCGCCGCCGCCGCCCGCAGTGCAGCTGCGTCGTCCACTCAATACAGAGGAGCAGCTGTCCTCCAGCAAAGAGAATCGCATTTCTAGGCTCTACAAAATGATTGCCACCGGCGGCGACAAGGCCGGCAATGTGCGCGGCATACTCAAGCGCAGCAAACCGAATCCAGCCCAGCCGCAGGATACGGATCCTAGCTATGGTTTCGCCAGTCGCTACTCCGATTCCAAGTCCTATTTTCGTGCGCATAACGTGGACAATACCATACCCACGGCCGTTAAGCGCGAGGATCTGTTCGATGCGGAGCTGGGCGAGGGCAACTTTTGTGATGTGCTCTACCCGCTGCGCTCGAGTGGCGGCTGGACAACGCCCGGCCAGATGACGCTGAAATCCAGCCAGGAGGAACATTTGTATGCAGCGCCACAAAAGAAGCGCGTTAAGTTTGACGATACGCTAGATGCGTACGAACAGAAGCCATTTGTATTCCCGAGCAGCTGCAGCAGCGGCAGCAATGCGGGCGCCACAAAAGCTGCTCCCTCGCTACGCGAGCGTATTTATGACTTTTTTGCCAATCTCTTCTAGAATTAGTTTATGCCACATATCATATCACAATTTCAATTCATTTATATACACAATAAAAGCATTTACAATACAAATGGATCAGCTTTACGTCGCCTCTCGCAGCGCACAGATGCTGTGCATAAAGCTCTGCAGCGCCAGCTCGTCGATGTCCTGCTCCCAGTTGCCATCGTGCTTGAAGTGCGAGCCTATGATGACCGCCTGTGCGTCTGGGTAATATTGACTTATGTTCTCCTTGGTCACGCCGGAGCCTATCATGAGCGGCACCTTCAGCTTGCCCGACAGCTCCTGAACATCCTTGTCACTGGCCGCCTTGCCCGTTGCCGCGCCCGTAACGATAATGCCGTCGGTGAGAAAGAATTCTGCGGCCTGCGCCGTTTCCAGCAGGCTGACATCCGCTGTAATTGCATGCGAACTGTGCTTCTTTTTGATATCCGTAAAGATCAGGACATTCTGGGCGTCGATGTGCTTGCGATAGCGCAGCAAATCGCCGGCACACGCATCCGTATAGCCCTCATCGGCCACATGGCCAAAGACGAAGCTCTCGGCACGTATGAACTGCAGCTGGCAGGCCTTGGCTATGGCCAGCGCCTGTTTGTTGCCGCAGGCAACCACCTGGACGCCGCAGGGCGTCTGGCGGGGCATGATGCTGCGCACAGCCTGCGACAGTCGGGTCATGCAGGACACAATCTCAGGGCCCAGCAGACGATCCTGCACATAGGGTATGTCGTGCATATTCTCAATGATCACAGCATCCTGTGGAATAGCAGATATTAGGCTATATGCATTGGTATGCATTTATTGCTTTATTTTGCCTACCACTTTGTGTTTCTTGTACAGCTCCGCCTCGTGCTTGGCCTTCTCAATGCTCTGTTGCCAGTTGCCGGCATAGCGAGGCGTGCCTTGATTTTTGTATTTTGTTCAATTAAAATCAATGCGAAAATGCGTTTGTTTGCTGCTGCATGCGGCACGGCCTTACCTGGCAGCGCATCCACATGTATCATGCCAATAATTTTGCATTTCTGTTCACCAAATATACTAAGAAATCGTTGCATTGCAAGTAAAATAAATTAAAACTAATTTCGGACTAAGGAGCAACAAGTGCGTGAGCGAGATGCACATATATATTAGAGATGAGCTAAGGCGCAACAGCTGTGAACAGTGTTGGGCACAACTATTACTCAACACTACTTTCGGCAGCTGCGGCCAATGGCTTGATGAGGTTTTACAATGCAACCATGCGTTTCTTGCAGCCAGGACTTAAAACAACGCGCAAATAATAGAAAAGCAACAATTAGTAAATAATATTATCTAACTAATAGCGTACAAACATCTGGTACATCAAATTTGCTATACAAATGTAAGGAATTTTGATTACATATGCATGTATTTATATTCTCGACAAGCACAGCGCCTGCGGAGCGTAGAAGTTTACCTAAATTCTATTAAAAAATACCTTTATAAACATTATATTTTTATATTCTGCCAATTACTTTGCATTTATTGCATCAAGCAATTCCATTTTAAGTAACTGTTATTTTTCAACACTTATTGAATGCACTTTTGTACACAGTTGCCATATGAGCTAAATGTGTACCTTATCTGGTACCTAATTGATTCAATGGTACATATACAATATTTACATAAATAGTTATTTACTTATTACTTTTTACTGTTTCTGGGTAACTCTTAAAAGCATTTCAATTAATCTATAAAATAAATATTTTAAAATAAAAAAAAACATGCTTTCATTCCGAACCTAAACCTAAATTGCCACACGTACATGTACACATTCATCAAAAATGGTACACTTAGTTGTAGTTGTTGGTACAAGCTAGTTTTATAAGTGGCAACCATGCATGCGAGCTGCCCACTCGATTATAGAGATCAGTCCAAGCGCAGCCATTTTTAAAGTGAAGTGCTTTTTTCTTGTGTTGCGTTCTTTTGTGAAAATTTATATTTTAAAATTGTTGCACGGGACTTTTAATCCAAGCTGCATGCGTTAATCCCCAGCATGCACGTCACGTAAGTAACTGCGTTTTGTTTCTGTGCTTTTATGGTGTGCTAAAGTTAAGGCTTGCGTCTAATGGCTGTCCATTAAAAGGGCGCCGCGTGGAGCGGCATCAATTCGTGGCGTCCTGCTAAAACAAAAGGCAAAGGCTTATCGCGGCAACAGGACGTCATGGCAACAACGGTGGCCGGAAAAAAGCATTGGCAGCTGTTTAGAAATTGCAAAATGAAAAGCCTTCGCTTTTTACATTGCGTTGCCTGTTCTGTCCGCTGCTCATTGAAAACGTTTAAATTGCGGTATATTGTAGCTGTTTATATTTATGTAACAGGCAAAAAGGTGGCTGCTCCGACACCATACATACATACAGCTGCGTTGATCCCGCTATTTCTTTCTCTCCGTCTGTTTCTCTGTTCGTCCGTTTGAAGACATTGCAGAAGCAAAGACTTACATATATTTATGTAACAGGCAAAAAGGTGGCTGCTCCGACACCATACATACATACAGCTGCGTTGATCCCGCTATTTCTTTCTCTCCGTCTGTTTCTCTGTTCGTCCGTTTGAAGACATTGCAGAAGCAAAGACTTACATATATTTATGTAACAGGCAAAAAGGTGGCAGCTCCGACACCATACATATATGCAGCTGGGTTGATCCCGCTATTTCTTTCTCTCCATCTGTTCCTCTGTTCGTCCGTTTGAAGACTGTGCAGACTTTACGTTTTGTATAAGGCGTCTCGTTTACAAACTTATAAGTTTTTATTTATATATGTATATATTATTATTGTTATTTAAATATTTGTGTTTATCTATCGGACAACAAATTTAGTTGTTTAAAATAATATTTCGCATAGTTGGATGCTTGGAAAAAGCAAGGTGCTGCCCCAATTAACTGTTGTTTGTATGAAATAGGGTATTTAGTTAGTCGGGCACGCTCGACTTTAGCACGCATCCCTTGTTACATTGTTTGAAATTGTGGCGGTCGCTGTCCTTGAGTTTGATTTGCTTTTGGAGCAGATCGAGGACCGTTGGTTTGATGTAAGGGTGGAGGAGGAGGGGGGGGGGGGGGGGGGGTTGGTTGGTTCGGTTTGGTGTTGGCCGTGCCTATGTCTGATTGCCTGTGCTTAGCGGAAACGGCAGGGGCACTCGCTGCGCACAACGGCATTTCAATTACCGCGCCCCGTCCCGCGCCCCTCACCCACACCTACACGCATTTGGGCATTCGCATTCGCATTCACATTCCCATTCCTATTCGCATTCACATTCGCATTCGCATCCGGCGTTGCCATTTGTTTGTTCTGTTTTTGGCATTGTTTTATTCTGCGCTATAGTTACACACGTATGTTTTGTGCATGTTACAATTGCGCTTTGTTTTATTTACAATATGTAAAAGTGCTTATGGCCATTGTTGTTCATCGATAAAAGCCCTAGTGCGGGTCCTTTATGATGAACGAGTTGTTATTTGCAAAATGCGCAACCAATTAAATAAATTTAATTGAATTACGATTTGCTGTTTGACTTGCACTGTAAACGGGTCAGGGCTGAGAGCTAATGTGCCAGTAGCTTTACACTAATTAACTATTGGTGTAAGGAAAAAGGATGAATGTTGATTTGCGATTCATCGTTTCAAGCGAATCGCGTCAGTTACGCTTTCCACTAACATGCGTGGAATATGGAGGGAATGGTATAGATGTATAGATGTTATTATACTGCCTTATTTTTTTGATTGGTTTTGTGATTCATCGTTTCAAGAGAAACGCTTTAGTTACGCTTTCCACCGGCAAGCGTGGAATATGGAGGGAATTGTAATATAAGTTAGCAAAGAGGTTTGAAACGGATTTTACTGATTTAAGACATCAACTTAAATTGCTGAATATATCTATATCCTTGTCTAAAAGTTGTGATTCCCACTTTTCAATGGTCAAAACTTACAGTTTTGTTGTTGTCCTAATAATACTCGAGCCTTTTTTTAGATTTTAATACGGTTTAAAATGTGAATTTGGATAGATTGTAAATCGCTTTCGTTTTGGTATTGTTGATTCCGATAAAGTTCCAATCGATTCGAGTCGCACTCAATATCAAGTAATTCCAACCCTTTCTGGTCCATGAGTGAAAAATGGATGAAAAACAAATATTTAAATTTTTAAGAGAAACACTGAGCCCGCTTAAAGTTTGTTAATGTTGGCATAAGCATAAAGTTTAAATTAATAATTTCTTGCTTTAATTTAGATACACACATCTTAAGTATTTTGAGTTTGTTTTTGAAGGATTTTTGAAGGAGCCGCTCTTAGCACAAGGTCCGAAGTGGCATGAATTTTGTACACCTGCTGCGCAAACAACATAAATTATTTATAACGTGTGCTGAGCGCAACACTCAAAACCTGTGTCTCGCTTTTGTTGTAGCAAACAGACACAGGCACACACCCACACACACACACACACACACACACACACGTGCTTGTTGTTGCTGTAGTTGCAACAAGTTGTTTCCGTGTTTGCCTTTGTAGCTTGCTCTTGCGATTATGCAAGGTACACAAAGAGTGTATCGCAATTATGTGAGTGTGTGTGTGTGTGTGTGTGTGTGTGTGTGTGTGTGTGTGTGTGTGTGTGTGTGTGGGTGTATGCTGCATTGAAAGGCAAACAGAATAGGCAGGATATCCTTCAAGCAAGCAACAGTTATTCAAGCTTTCGCCCTGAAAGCATTTCCACCTAACTGCCGCTTTTGTCCTCCAGCTAATTAGCTGCCCATAACTTTGGCCAATATAATAAGCAACAAACAAGTTAATGAAAGTGCTTACACTGTAAAAAAATATGTGCACCAAAAAGATAAACTACAGCAAACAGATTGAAAAGGTTGATGTAGGCAGGTAAAAGCTCATAATTGCTGAGCTCGGTTGAGTTGATTTGATGAACAGATAAGTTTTTTAATACAAGCACCAATCTTTCCTATGGCATATATATGATTAATATTCCGATTCCGATTAACGTTCATATGTACTGGCTGCAGCAGAAAGCGAGAACTAGGCAAAGTATCATGATAATACTTAGTTTCGAAATGATAATAGTTTCGA